AGCGATGCACTTGTTCCTAGGAGCGTCCTTGTTACTACTAGTAAGGCACTTGTTACTAGTAGCGATGCACTTGTTCCTAGGAGCGTCCTTGTTACTACTAGTAAGGCACTTGTTACTAGAAGCGATGCACTTGATAGCAATTGGGAAGTTGAAGCTGCGCAAAAAGCCTTTGGCAATGGCCGCCATGGCCAATTTAAGAGCGATGGCCTCCCCTTTTCAGGGCTGTTCCACGAAAGTCCTGGACGGACAACGAGGGTGGCCGGGGCGAATTTGCCCGGAGTAGTGCCTGACTCAGCTGGTGAAGCACTTCTCCCCCACAAAGGGCGGCCACCACATCCCCAGCAAGCGCGTTAGCCCATATGCCTTGCTGTCATACATCGCAACCGGCGATGCGTTGGCCCCAAGGATGTTACACCCAAGCGCCTGCACCCGGCCAGCGGTGCATCAACTGCCGGCGGAACAATTTGCCACAGGGATCTCTGACGAACGTCATTCGAAGCCCTGAATGAAGCAGTTGAGGGTTGGCGCCGCATCACTTCACAGAGCGATATGCATACTTGAGGCAACCTGAACAAAGCCGTGCAGTTGTTCCAAAGCTGCTCTTTTGGAACCTCTGCCGTGCATGGGATGTGCTTGCTCACTGTGAGTATCGCGAGTCTTGCCTTTCTTCAATGCGCCCACTTCAGCCAGCAAAATGATCGGTTGCCTCCACCCCTTTGCGGCAGCAACCTAAAGCCACCCAATTGTTGGCAAAGCCATCTCTAACGGCCTTGTGCCTGCTCCCAAAGCCATGTTAACAACAAGGACGCTACTAGGAACAAGTGCATCGCTACTAGTAACAAGTGCCTTACTAGTAGTAACAAAGAAGCTATTAGGAACAAGTGCTGCCATTCGTTGAGATGTTTTGGGAATCTCTTGGATGGGTCTTCGACTCGGTTTCCGGTCGCCCAGTGCTCTCCGACGAGAACCTTCGGAGTTTCTCATCTGCAATGGCCAACCTAATGGCGATGGCCGCACCTAGTAGTGTCCGGCCGCACCTAGTAGCCTCTGGCTACTAGTAGTACGGCCAGGAGCCCCTAGTAGCGTCCTTGCTCCTAGTAGCGATGCCCTTTGTTACTAGTAGCGATGGCCGCACCTCCATCTCTTGGAGTTGCTTCGCGGTGGCCCAGTGATAATCCTGCACCTGTCGGCCGTCGGCTGTCAGGTGGCCAAGCGAGCCAAGCTTTTCATGTGATCCACGCTGTCTAAAACTGAATTGCTGAAGGACATGTGGAAGAATTAACCAAGGTACTTACAGTTGGATCTAGTCGCCCACAATGCCCCGGCCAGTGTTGTGGCTCCATGTTGCTCTCAAGCATCGATGCCACAGGCCCAAACGACACGAACATCTGCCTGTCGCCTTGCATGTTCCTCGGCTTCCGCAGCCTGGCGCCTCAGGTCGAAGCGATGGGAGGATGGGCAGCGGCAGGGAGCTGCCGAATGGTGTGGCCCCTGGTAGGTCTTTCACTTGGCATGAAAGCATGTATCACCATATGGGCACAACCTTCCTTTTGCATCGATCCGTAGGTCAAGCAAATCAATGTCGATTCATTTGGAGAACCGGCTCACATTCCCGAAATGAAGTAGGAACAAGTGCCTCGCTAGTAGTAACAAGTGCCACGCTACTAGGAACAAGTGCATCGCTTCTAGTAACAAGTGCCTTACTAGTAGTAACAAAGAAGCTATTGCATCCAGTTTTCGTGACCCATCACAATTGGGTTGGGGCCACCGGCACAGCTTCACTGCGTTCCACCTCGAGTCTTCTTTCGCGTGCGAGATTCTCCAAGAAACGCGCAGGACGTCCGATCGCCGTGACTTGGACGTGGAAAAAAACCAGCTCTGCGTGTAGCGATGCACTTATTCCTACAAGTAGCGTCCTTGCTCCTAATAGCGATGCACTTGTTCCTACTAGTTGACATGAGTGCTTTTTCCTTCAAGATCTGATGAAGCATTGGAACAGCGCAAGCATCTCCACACGTCTGGTCTGGCCTTCATCTGCTGAACTTCCAGTTGCCATCCCTTGACCTCAAATCGGAGAGACACGGTCGGTGACGGTGACACGGTGACACGGTTTGCTCAGCTCACTCGTTGCAGTCTGAGCCCTGAACAAGCTCCAGCTGCTCCGCCTGCAACAAATATTGATGCGAACAACATGGAACAGACCAACTACAGTACTCCTGGCTACTACTACCAAGATATCACAAGATTCTTTAATTTTACCAGAATGGTTTCCTTTGGGCCTTCTGAAGTTACACCATGCCCCTCAACAACGCAACTTCCCTTTTCCACACAGACTTGAGGCCAGAGGGGGTGAACGAAAGCTAGCCAGGGGGTGAACGAGAGTCTGGTCGTCAGGGATGGGCGCTGCTGCGCTGGGTGCTCTGCTGGCGCCGGGTCGTCTGCTGCTGCTGCTGCTGCTGGCGCTGGGTGGTCTGCTGCTGCTGCTGCTGCGGCGGTGGGTGCTCTGCTGCTGCTGCGGCGCTGCTGCAGCACACCAAGCATCTGCAGTCTACCACCAAGCAGCTGCAGCAAACCACAAAGGAGCAGCAGCAGCAGAAGCAGCAGACCCAGAGCAGCAGCAGCAGCAGCAGCAGCAGACCACCCAGCGCCAGCAGCAGCAGCGCAGCAGCAGCAGCAGCAGCAGCAGCAGAGGACCCGGTGCAGCAGCAGCAGCAGACCACCCAGCGGCAGCAGCAGCAGCAGGAGCAGCAGCAGCAGCATACCAACCGCGCGCAGGGGGGAGTCGAACCG